TAACCTTGGCTCAGTAAAATCTTCTCAATAATCAGCCGACATCTTCGTTCCAATTCGAAAAATTCACGATTATTTTGTCGTGCCGATAATTCTTTGCCTATCAACGTTGGATCTTTTGTTAAGTCACTTATTGTGACGAACTTCTCAGTTTGAGTACTCTACAAAAACCAACAATATACTTCATTTCTGTGAACACTTTCATTGACTTGAAATATGATACGTGTTGAATCTTAAAGTCAAAATTTTCAAATACGTACGATTAAGTTAAATGACCATTCAAACTGAAACTAATAAGAATAATACTAACCGCATCCCTGCAGAAAGTTCCACTCTCGCAAAACTGATATTGCATCGGATCACTCAAAATGCTTGACGTATTGTTAACTGTTGTTATTCCGGATGTTTCTTTCGCCGAGTTCTCAAAATCAAATTAAAATACTCTAACGAAACAATCGAATAACCAAGAGAAAGAAATCAAAATTGTATTTTACTAATTGTAAGTCAAAGCTTTAACAAACCTCTATCGATAAACATCCAACCAAATAATTCATTCAGCAACAAAAATGTTTACAATCCAAAAACTTACAAATTCAGCGATATCAGGTACCACTCGATCCGAATCATTACTTCTGGACGTTGATATCGCTGCAGATGAATTTTGCAAAGTCGTCAAAGTCGATTTGATGGGCTGTGATTGCGTACGAGATTTCTCTTTAGTATTCTAAAAACAAGATGACTACTTGCACAAAGTGAACAATTACAACTAATCTTCCAACAAATATAAGTTCGCAAAAAATACAGAAAATAACTTAAATCTTAAGAACTGAATAGACACAGTTCAGAAAGTGAAAATGCAAAAATTTTCCCACTGACTGCATTAGAGTTCATCAACAAAGGCCAATACAAACTCAGTTCTAGGAGCATATATCTTAATGACAGCCACAAATATACCGAATTTTAACAACTACTTTATCAGTAATTTCAACAGCTGATTCAGTAAAACAAAAACTTTGAAGAGCACCTACCGTGGACTTATTAAAAACTCGATCATAAATGATACAACGTCGTATGGCTGGATGTTGTAAGCTCGGCTGAGATGACGATGTATTCAACGATGACTCTTGTGATGAATAGGCACTGTTGGATTCTAGTGAAGTGTTATGAGTCGTCGTATCCTGCAAAATCACAAACTGAGGCTCATCGAATAACTTGAACGCATTCATAAATTTCATTCATTCTTACCTAGAATGAGAGAACGATAGAGTTGGTTCTTTGCTCTAATTTTTCTAACTGTAAGAAAATCTAATATGACGAAGGAATAGAGATTACAAAAATTTTTTTGAGATGAACTGAAACAAAATGAAATGAAATTGACAATAAGGAACCAATCAATCACCGCTTCATACCTCACAAAATAATTTCGTTGGTTGACTGTAAGATGACTGCTGAAAATTTCGTCTCTTACGGTTATATTCTAGATTCCCATCGGAAGATGGAGAAGACAACTGAGCCTGGAACTGAGATTGTTGAGTCTGTTGCTGTTGTTGTCCTTGTTTTTCAACGACATATGGAGAGAACATTGAACGTGGTGGTGGCACCATTGCAACTGGAGAATTTGACGATCGTTCGGGCAAGATTGAAGATCGTTCGGGCACAGTCGCATTTCCTGCACACGGCTGCGGCATAGGCGACTGTACGGCTATTTTATGTACAAAGAAGTAGCAAGAGATGATCGACACGAAACTGGAATGGTCAGCTTCTGAGAGAAATTTCAATCGGAATCTTGCTAGAGTCACTGATGAACTCTGAAATAAACTGCAGCATTAATGAAAATAAATCATTACGAATAACAACCAAACAGCTAATCAAACAAAAGTGAAACGAGGATGATGGGAAACGTGGAAACCTGAGACATCACGTGAAAAAACACTTCAGTCCCTTTGCTTTTCACAGTTGGTGGTGGATTGATGTTCAACGAGAACTGCTCTAAATTCGAACTTCCGATAGTGATCGTTAGAATTCGACGTTGAGCATTGATGGTGACACGCAAATCGCCTGTAGTTCCAGCAACATCCTGAAATAAAGTATGAAGAAATGCAGATATGAATTTAGTCAGTGCAATAAGAACATTCCTGAAAGCGGATCAGAATTGAGTGGGTATATACCGAAGGATATCGATGAGAATTAATAACTAACATAGCGCATTCCATGTAATTTCGTATATTTTACGAGTGTCCATGAGTGATTATCATTCGATGCCATATAACGATCATAATCATGATTCTGCATTATTGATGGGGATGAAAATGCAGTTCCAACAATATCACAAAACTGGAATTTTTGCTGAATAAATGGATAATAAGCAGGCACTGACAATAAGATAAGATTAATTTGAATAAACTTCGGCCGAAGTAAATATTTAAGAATTATATCGTTGAGTTGAAATAAACACTTTACTCCTCAAATTAATAGAGAAATCATAAATTCTTATCAGTCAGCATGAAAATTAAAAAAATAGAAGAGGAACTGTCGCGTCAAATTCTGAATGAAACAATGTTAAGAAATACGAAAATCTCGCTTGCTGCGGTCAAATAATACCATCACAGCGATGGATTCTTCAACAACACTTTAACTTCGAGAGTCTATGAGATACTTTAACAACTGATTCGAGAGTATATGAGATAGAATGAGAATTTGACTTTATCTGTTTGAAACAATGAGATGGAAAGAATGAGAAAAGGGCACTGAGTGAATGCTTCTGATGATAAAAGGTATGAGAGTAGTTATAGTAAAGTTTAATTGTAACGAGTAATGAGATCAGACAGGAATGAGAAAACGACAACAAGAGTGTGTTTGCAATGAAAAAAGTTATGAGAGCGATTGGAACACATCGGAAAAGAATGAGAATTCATTCGAAATAATCTCGGTTTGATTGCATTCAGTTCTGAACGTACACTTTCGAAGCTGACGAATGAATTTCGAAAAGTGAACAACTTAAGAAATTAAACGAGACTCAAATGATTCTCGTAAATGAATAATCATTTTCGGTTCTCTCCTTGACAAAAATTATCCACTTTGTCTTTTTGGATTTCCCATTCTTCCAAGATTTAAGCCTAATTGCACTGTGAAGATTGGTAATGCAATCAATTTCGAGAGCATCTGAATTCACTGACCACCACAGTAAACATTTGCAAATTCAATCAACCATCTTAAACTTTGTGCAGACAGTTTATCATCCCATGAATGAATGAATGAATCTGCCCAAAACATTCAGCAACCGATAGGTCCATTTTGATGTGTACAATCGGATCGACCCGAAAATATTACAGTCAATTGATAGCCTCATAAATCAATTCACTCTCCTTTTGATTTCTATGTACAACTTCTAAGTACAGTCAATCAATTTCTATGTACAATCTCCATTTCTTAAGAATTTTATTGTTGAGTTGAAATAAACACTTCACTCCTCAAATTAATAGAGAAATCATAAATTCTTAATAATTAGCATGAAAATTAAGAAATGGAAGAGGAGTTCTCGCGCCAAATTCTGAACGAAACAGATGTTAAGAAATACGGAAATCTCGCTCGCTGAGATTAAGTAATGCCATCACAGCGATAGATTCTTCAACAACTTTAACTTTAACGACTGATTCGAGAGTAATGAAATAGAATGAGAATTTGACTTTATCTGTTTGAAACAATGAGATGAAAAGAATGAGAAATGAACAATAGGAAAACGTTTCTGATGATATAAGGTATGAGAGCGATTATAGCAGAGTTTGATTGTAGCGAGTAATGAGATCAGACAGGAATGAGAAAACGACAGCAAGAGTGTGTTTGCAATGAAAAAAGTTATGAGAGCGATTGAAACACATCGGAAAAGAATGAGAATTCATTCGAAACAGTCTCAATTTAATTTCGTTGGGAAGAAACTTTTCACACATCGAAAGGTTTTGAATAAGTTCTGGGCATTAAAAACTGTATGAAATCAACTGATGCATAACATTTCAACAGGCCTAATAGCACTGAGAAGATTGGTAGTGCAGTTAATTTCGAGAGCATCTGAATTCACTGACCACTAAAGTAAATGCTTGCAGATTCAGTTAATCGTTGTAAATTTTGTGCAGATTATTTGTCATCCTATGAATGAATGGATAAATCTTTCCAAAACCTTCAGTCAGCAAATGATAGACCCATTTTGACGCATACAATCGGATCGACCAGAAAATGTTACAATCAATTGATAGCCTCATAAATCAACTCTATCATTTAAAGTCTTCGTTTCCAACAAGTATCCCTTATAGTGACATGAAATATCTCTCCTTCGAGAAATAATCCCATCGATTTCCTTCAATTTCATAAACGTTGTTCTCAGGCAACGAAAAAACCTAGCAAGGAACCAAAATATCACTTTTATTCTGTATCATTACTAACAACTTATCATAATTTCAAGTTTTTATCTCTCGATGTCATTAAGCTTGATCAAAAGCTCCATATTATGGCTGGTCACATTCTAATCCAGCTATTGCTGACAAGCAACCAGGTGTTTACTAATTGTTCGTGTCACTCAATAAATAGCACAGCAGAAATTTTACCTCCAAATGGGATATCCAATTGGATATATAGGCACTTTCTATGTGTGCATTATATCATCTTGGTCCATATCGTTTGTTGTATTGGACTTGTCCATAGCGTATTTAGTTCTGGTCTGGTGCGTTCATATGTGATTTGTTGATTGACCCTGTTGCATTGTTGAACATATACGATGACATTGGTTGAGCTCGACGGATCATCGAATGAGAAGAATATATACATTATCCAATTGATTACATTTAACAACAAAAACAACAAAACAAAAGCAGTAATCTTCTTTAATTGCAATTGCTTTTTGCATTCTCTAGTCGTTATCTCTTTACATCTTCAGCTCTAATCCACCACAATTTTAGTGTTCCACTAAAAAANTAAATCATTGAAATTTTCGCTCTCAGTTTACAAAATATCGTTTTTCAGTCCAGTTCGTGTGGAACTTTCAATGTCTGCTTGTATTTTTCACACATTTTCATCAGTTTTTCCACGAACAATTTCATTCAGCATTGAATATTTTCTAATTAATGAAAGCAGGATAAATCCTTTGCATATTCACGCTATTTCAAAATCATCATCCAATACGGACAGTCAGCATCTAGCATTGAAGCTATTTAATTGCAATTTTTCTTTTTTTTCTCGTCTTTGAAGCTATTAATTGTAATTGCAAGCCTCTTCCCGCAATAAGCCGTTTTGCATTGCAGAAGAGGATTGATTAAATGTTGCCATAATATGACCACGAATAATTTATCATCAAATTCGTTGTAATTTACCATCTTGTTTTGGCTAGCAAAATATTTTTGATTTGTTCGTATCGAATATGATGAATTGCGGTTTTATTCTCAAAGTCTAAATCCATAAGCAAGCACACGTGGCGTATCTCGTTCAGGTCTGGCTGATATTCATTATTTCATAACCGTTCCAATTACGATTATTCAGTCACAAATGAATCCAACCAACCAGTTTAGCACTGAGAAATTTTAGTGTTCTCATAATAAATCCGTAGATTTTTGATCTTCCATCATACTGTTTTATCTTTTGCATCTTATTTTGCTCTCGAATGATTATCTTTTAAATTGCTCTCCTTTCAGTTTGCTTGCAAATTCTCAAAAACTTTCCTTTCTATCTAAATCACTTCATCTTAATACTCAATATAGTGAGGATATTATTTATCCTTATCAACTACAACCAAACTAATCTCTCCTAACTACGAATACAAATTCGTATCTTTCATCTCATCCGCTAAACGCGATCGCTCAGTGTGCAATCTTAAGGATTTGCTTAATCCTAAACTCATTATCAACAAACTATGATATTGCTCGCTGAAAATACACGCCTTTAAGGTTAAGTTTAAGTTATTTTGCCTGTTGATATGATTCGTATAATGAATAATATTCTTACATATAAATAGAAGCTTTTATATGATCAATACTCATTTGTTGTTTTTATGTGAAGTATTAAAGTTGCCTTGTCGTTGACGAAATGTTTAATCAAATTATGCGAATTGATCGAATTGACAATTTTACTGTCCTCCGCGTTATCGAATACGCCATGTTATCCAAGCAATCGTGTTAATTTCATTTCCTGTGGATGTTATCATTAATTGTTCGAATAAATCAATGATCTTGATATGCGATTCTATTGGTAGCACTACCAGTGATGGGACATTGTCAATGCAAATGCTGGCATTAGGGTTTATCATGACAATTATCAATTCATTGCGTGGAATATGTTGTTATTATTAACGCGATAACCAATTTTCACGATTATTGAATGCTGATTATATCGAACACAGTAACGATGAGCATTTGTATTGTGCATTATGCAAATTAACACCTTTCCAATGTTCAATCCCACTCTGACATGTACACTTGCATCCGCTTATTCTCCTTATCTAATTTCTTTAGCATAATTCAGTCTTTGTTGCAATCAAGAAATTATAATTCGTTAAAGATTTTCATAATTGCTCTTTGTTGAGCATTCGAATAGATGATCTTCCACACAACTTGCGTAACATGATAGCACCAGTAACCATGTTTAGAAGAAGTAGCCATCAAAACATTGCTTATATATTCATTGAAAGTGTTTTTTGTCAATCATCTCTATTGTCATAATGTAATCAATCAAATCAGATTGTTTTCAATTCAGAAATTATATCTTAATCTTATATACAATGCACACCGAGCGATTGAGTTATGAAACCAGGATTAAGTTGTAATCTTTAGCATATGAATGCATAGATTAAGATATGAATGCATAATCGTTTATTCAATTACTGAATAGGAATATCAGAACGGCGGAAGTTTTATAAAAGTTGCGTTTCATTTAAGAAATGAATACTTCGTGTCAGTTTAAGCTAATCTTAATGACAGCCTCGGGTCGCATAAAAAATATCAATCCTCGGCAAGCATGCATCAAATATTAATAGGATTTGATTCTATCATTGGATCGAGTTTGGATTCATTCAGACGTTCACATGTTTAAGATATGTTCCATGCGATTCCCAGCGTTAGTGTTCATTATGATCTCACTAGTGATTTATTTACACAACAAAATGAGCGTTTTCTTTGCCGCACACTTATCCTTATTCTTCTCAACTTGTTATTATAATGCATAGGAAATGAAATGAGAAT